AGTGTACATAAAAAGACAAGATACATTCATCAAGTATCATAAGGTACAGCACATAATGATAGTCATAGGGTACAAATAAGCAATCAGGAAACAATCAATATCAATATAAATCGTAAGGATACAAGCAATAAAATTACAGTCCTGCAGTCATAAGTGGGAGGAGATGGATAATAGGAACAATGAGAAGACTCATAGTAATAGTAATGCAGCCTTAGTGAATGGTTTCACAGTGGGAATTATTTGTTTAGCAGAGTGATGGTGTTTAGGAAAAAAACTGTTCTTGTGTCTAGCTGTCTTTGTGTGCAGTGCTCTATAGCGTCATTTTGAGGGTAGAAATTGAAACAATTTACGTACAGGGGTCTGTAAATATTTTCACAGCCTTCTTTCTTTTGGAAGGCAGGTTGGTAGCAATTGTTTTTTCTGCAGTTCTCTCAGAGTTCCAGAAGACTGGTGCCAATTGCCTATTTTGAGCCATCCTCATAGAGCGGGCACCTAAAGCCATACTGCCTTTTGTCCCCAAGATTTAGGAGTACAACTTGGGTATGCTGGGGTGCTGTAGGTAGAGCAAAGCATGGGCTGCCTCATGTGTGATCCTCTTTGTCATTTTGGTTTTTTCCCCAGTGTGGCATTGCTGCAGAAATTGCAACGAGAGTTCTAGCATTTTGCATCTGTGTCAATGCAAAATCAAATACAAACACCGCAAGTCAATATTTTACATTAGGGAACTCTGATGAACTTTGAGCCTTTAAGACAAATTATTATTCTTTATGCTTAAAACGTAGCGTGACTTTCTAGTGAACTTTTTTTTTTCCTTACCCTGATTTGGAAATCTTCGCTCTGGTAGCCAAAACCGAAGTTGATGTGCCAAGAAGTGGAATGTATAATAAACAGTTCTGCCCTCAACAACACAGCTCCCACGCTGGGGAATGCCAGAAAAAAAATGAAGAGGGAGGGCAGAAATTGTAGGCTTTTAATTCCTGGAGAGTCTGTAGTGTAACTAGGAATAAAAGCTGTCGCTGGGGTGGATCCCTCCAGCAGGTTTGCTTTGGCATAATAGGTTTGCTTAGGATTAGGGCAAAAAAAAAAAAGTCTTCCTTGGCAACAATTGTGTAGGTAAGCTCCTTCATAGATACTGAATATTTATCTTTTTTTTTCTTCTCTCCTTCCCCACATCTCAGTATTTAAAGCTCTAAATCTGGAGCTGCAGTCTTTTTTCCATTGTTCACTAAATATAGCTGTACCTTTACTCCTTCGTCCATGCAATTTGTGACTGGCTTAACAACAAATGCCAGTTGCCAAGCAAATGGTTGGCTTAATTAGCAGAACCAGATTAGGAAGCCTTAGAATGAAGGGCAGGCGTGAGGGTGGACGTCTGCTGATCTGGTCATTCTTCTTTTTTAGCCCAAGTGTCCAATATGGGTTGAGCCAGAAAGCTGGCAGGGTGCAAAAGTAGATGGCTGGTAAGACTGTGCACAATAAACTTGGACAGCAGGAAAATGTTGCTTCACAAAGTAAAAACACAGATGGCAGTAAAACGCCTGTGGCCATTTGGGGAAACTGCCACATATATTTACAGCTTTCCTTTAAAAGATCCAGGATTAAATCATTCTAGATACCGGTAGTCCTCAACCTACGACCTCAATTGAGCCCAACATTTATGTTGCTAAGCAAGACAGTTGTTAAGTGAGTTTTGCCCGATTTTACAGCCTTTTTTGCCACCATTGTTAAATGAATCAGGGCTGTTGTTCAGTTACTAACACGGTCGTAAAGTGAATCCGGCTTCCCCACTCGTTTGCTTGTCAGAAGGTTGCAAAAGGGGATCGCATGATCTCAGGACACTGCAACCATGGGTCAGTTGCCAAGCATCTAAATTTTGTTCATGTGATGATGGGGAGGCTGCAACGGTTGTAAATGTGAAAAATGATCATAAGTCACTTTTTTCGGTGCCATTGTAACTTTGATCCGTCACTAAACGAACTGTTGCAGGTCGAGGAAGACTTGTATTCAAATACTACCTTCTGTTTTAACGTCTTACTGTAACACGCATATTGACTATGCCTCCAGCCCTTTTTGCCATCCTCAGGCTGTTACACACTCCCAAAAGCCAGTCTGCTGAAGTTCACTGGCAAACCACCAACATTCAGTAATGTGACATTTTGAACATTTTTAAAAACAATTAATAGGTGAAGTATACATTCAGCTCCCTTTAATTAATTAATTTAATTAAGACACATCTACATTGCTAGTGCTTTCACTCTCCAAATACCCTACTGTAAGACGGACTGGAGTATAACACGCACCAAGATTTTGAAGAGGTACATTTTTTTAAAAAAAGTTTTTGCACTCTGCAGGCTTCCCAAACCCTCTGCACACTTTGGTTTTTTGTGGGAAAAGGGGCATGCAGAGAGTTTGAGAGGCCTGCAAAGTGCTCCTGGGGGCAAGGGGAGGGGCGAAAACAAGCAAAAAATCACGTTTTTCACGGAAATGGGCCCATTTTTGCAAAAAACAACAACAACAGGGCATGCATAGGCTTTGGGAGGCTTGTAGAGTGCTCCTGAGGGTTGGGGAGGGCATAAATGAGCAAAAAAACCAGCCCATTTTTCACTTCTTTTTGCCCTCCCCAGCCCACAGGAGCACTTTGCAGGCCTCCCAAACCCTCTACCATTCATTTTTTGTGAAGGGGGCAAGGTTTCAGGTGGCCAAAAATGCAGCATTCCGTGTATAAGATGCACCCAGGTTTTCACCTTCTTTTTTGGGGGAAAAAGGTGTGTCTTATATTCTGAAAAATACAGTACTTACTTGCAATCATATTTCTTGGCTGCCATGAAGCTTGCTGGTGCTTCTGCCCAGCTGGCCAGTGGGAGGAGAGTTCAAAAATGGATATTCATCTGGTGTCTTATTTCCCTCAGCCTCCCTCCTTGCCTTTGCTTCCCTACATTTGTTTTCTGGCAAGGAAAAAAAAAGCAACTGCACTGAAGCAGCCAAGCTGGCAGGGTGGGGAAGGATAGCAAGGTGTAATGGCTCCCTGCCTTTGGGAAGAATCCAAGGAACTGGAAGGCAAGATGAGGCAAGAATCCCCACGTGAATGAAGGCAAATATATGTGTCCCAGGATAATGTTGCAGGATCCAATCTGGGTCGGTCACCGGGAGGTCCAGAGGTTTTGTCTTCCGAGCTTTCGGACTCCATCTGGAGCCCATTTTCAGGGAATTTCTGTCCAGCCTAGCCAGAGAAATTCCTTGAAGATGGACTCTAGCACAAGTCTGAAAGCTTGGAAGACAAAACCTCAGGACCTCCCGGTGACCGACCCAGATTGGATCCTGCAAAAATTTCCACCACTGGGAAGTGACTATCTTCTGAAAGAGCAGCTGATCTGGGAGTGAATTGCTCACCTGCCAAAGACCTTCAATGACTGACAGAGCCAAGGGCACAGAGAGACGCAGTACTGGTGCAGTTCATGCATATGGAAGGGGCCATATTTCTAAAAAGCTGCCCCCACTTCCCTACTTTTTGAAAGAAGTGGCCAAGCAATTCATCCCCAGGCCTCCCTCACATCATCACCATTCTTCCTGAAGCTACTGCAGATAAAAAGAATTATAGGAAGAAAGGATAACACCTCCCCCCCCACAACCATATTACTACCTCATAAACTCCTAAAATGTCATAGAATGGAGAGTAAATAACCTAGTAAACATTTTGAAGTGACAATTTCTTTATTAGGTTTTTTTTAAAAAAATGTTTCAACTGGAGGATATTTGATTTATTCAAGACAAGGATTAAAAATTAAGAGGCATTCTGGATTTATATGTACCCTGAGAACCTATGCACCAAAGACAAATTCCTTGTGTGTCCCAATTACACTTGGCCAATAAAGAATTCTATTCTATTCTATTCTATTCTATGATTCTATTTATTGCATTCTTCCCATGGAAAATGAAATGCATGGGGAAAGCTTTGTCGGTACTCAAAAGCTAGTTCAATGCATAGGGCTTTTGAATAGTACAGATATGGAATGAAATAGGCAGCTGGAGGAGGGGGCATGTCAGCAAAATCATTGTAGCATTCCAGGGAGGAGGCAGCACGTTGCAGAGAGGGGCCCAAAATAAGAGATTGCACAGGGGAAGGGGAGGGGAAGCAGGTAGGTACGAAAAGATTCAAGTGTACCCTGGATATACTTCAGGGTATATCTATTAGGTTAGAATTTTATAGCTTTAGTCTGGTAAAATTCAGTCTATTAAATAATTGAAAATAATATACAAAGCCTTATTATAAAGCTTTATAGTAAGACCACTCTTAGAATACTGCCTCCAGTTTTGGTTTCCATATTATTAAAAAAGATGTAGAAACTCTGGAAGGAATGCAAAAAAGAGTAACAAAGATAATTAGGGAGCTGGAGACTAAAACGTACGAAGAACAGTTGCAGGAATTGGGTTTATCTAATCTAGTGAAAAGAAGGACCAAGATTGACATGATAACAATTTTTCAATATTTGAGGGGTTTCCACGAAGAAGAGGGGGTCAGCCTATTTTCCAAAGCATCAGAAGGCAAAGCAAGAAACAGTGGATGGAAACTAATCAAGGAGAGAAGCAAGCTAGGACTAAGGAGACATTTTCTAACAAGTAATCAAATGAAACAAATAGAGAACTGGACTTCACTGGATCACACTGTGCCCTCTTTTAGGCTTAGGACTGACATGAGAGTATCTATTGTGCCTTTCTTTCTCTGACTAATTCTGTTTTCTGCTTCTGCTCTCAGTAGTCCAAACTGAGGTTATACTGTAGTGGGGACACAGAGAAGATTGGTTCATTTTGACCGCATAGCTAGTCTTTGAGGCTTATACGTCCTGGAGATTTCTACACTGTATTGAGAGAAGTGGGCTATCTGTAGTTGAAATTCAAGGATAGGCCCCTCTACTATGGCTACAGAATACTGAAATTCTAATGGCTTAATATTCCTTCTCCTGTATCCCCTTCACTGAATGGGGGAAAAAAACCCATGGATCTTTTTCTCTTTTTTCCTACTTGTGTTGTAGGAGAGGCTGGTTTCCTTTCTCCTACACACGTGTGTTGGACAGTGATGGGAGCGATAGATTACATATGAGGTAAGAAAGTTTTTTTCATGGATGCAGTGCCATCATCTGACATTTGAATAATGTTTATACTCAAATAGACAAGCCCTGTGTTTATTTAGCCAGAAGCGGAATCTGTCCTGCATTGCCCTCTTCTGGCTTATCTTTCGTTAGGAATTTCATTACACTGGCTTCGTTTTTTCTCAAACTAAGATTTCAGGCTTGGCTGTGAAAATCCACTGTACCTCTTTGCATGGGTGTATAGATTTGTCCATGTATTTATACACACAGAGATACATACATGTGTGTACGCATGCATGTATGATCTGGAGCAAGCCAGTTGTCAGGGTTCCAAATAGCATCCAAATGTAAACCAGAATCCAAGGCAAAATATTGCTCAAAGTTCCAATTTATTAGGAGAGCCATGTTGGCACATCTGGGAAAACCCAAATCTGAAAGCTTCCCAGTTTTCCCCATCTAATTGAAAGTTCAAGATCTTGCCCCCACTCCAAATTCATCACATGGTCCAATCTCCCACTGCCATGCTGGCAGTTCCACTCATCCAGTTCCGGTCAGGTGCAGAGGTGCAAAGACAAAGGATGACCTTGGCTTTCTAGAAAGGAATTTTGTTATGGCTACATAGTATGTAACTCCTTACAATCCCCCCTTCCATTTTCCCACAATAGAAAATGCACAGTAGAATATTAGGAAGTGTTGCAGGCCAAAGATCCAAAAGAAAAGATGGCTGCAGGCCTGACACCAGTGTGATATATTTGGTGGGAAAAGCCTTAACGACAGTGTGTTTCATATGGTAAATGTAATAAACGCATATGGCCCCGGATGGAAAGGCTTCCAAGTCTTGGTGGTGACAGGAGGAGGATGTTCCCTTAGTGATTCTGAGCAGGTTCCCATAGGGAAAGGCGTGTGTGGGAGGAAGAGAATCTGAAGAATCCTAATTTTGTCTGTGTGCAATGAATGAGGCAAGTCTTAATGGCTTATAAAGTGTACCCTGTTTGCAAAATTCTGCCACAGAGGAAATGCTGACTAAATGTGCTTATGTCTTCAGCCAGGGGAAAAGCAGTAGTACAGGCAACCTGTTGGACAAAGATGATATCCCCCCTCCTGACTACAGCACGTCCTCCCGAACTTTCCAGGCACCGAATGTCAGCACTTTCAAACAGAGGCCGTACAGCGTGGCGGTGCCACCATTCCCCCAGGTGAGACAACTTTTCAACTCAGAGGAGAGGGGGGCATAACCATTGTGAGCGAATACACCAATCAGGAGGGGCTCTGCCAGAGGTAGATTCTAAGGCTCCGTCAGTGGAGAAGGAAGGTGGATTTTCAGAGAATTCTGTGGGTGTCAGTGGTACACATCTTGTACTTTGGGTTGGGTATGGTTTAATCTTTATTTGTACTAAAATTTTGAAATGAGCATTGAACATCAAAAAATGGCTTAAATGAAATGGATGTACAGTTTGGATTGGTGAGAATGAAATGAGTTTTAGATCGTTTAAATATAGCTGCTCTGATTATGAAGAGTAAAGGAGGAATTGGCACGGCAACTTTTTCTACAGCTAGTCCAACGAAATGAGAGGGTTCTAGCTGAGTCACACTTTATTTTCACTGTGATTTGGGTAACAAGCCACAGAAGTCTGGTTCACGGACTACTAAGTCATAAACGTGGCTCAGACCAATGGACTACTGGCTCTTGTTTTCAACTAAGCCAACTTTCAACATCCGTCTGAACTCATTGTTTTCCCCTGTAGGATAGGGAAGCCTTGTGATGAGATATTTGATTCTGTGAAATGTTCTTTGGGCTATGCACAACAAGATTTCCAAACCCACCCACCACCTTATCGTTAGAGTTTGTATCTATTTGAATTGGTCGGTTCCGTGTGGTGCTATTTCTTGGTATGACCTTGATCATTCTTTCTGTTGCCTCCCTCTATTGTTTGGAAAATTCTTCTGCAATGTTGAAAACTGGGACAGGAAGTGAGTAAGCCACTTCCTTTGATGTAGCAGTTGTTCTGCCTTCTTTGTGCTAAATCTGCAAAGTTATCTTCCATGTGCAACCCAACGATCAAATGACATTACTGTTGCCATTACGTTTTGAAGCTGATCACCAGAAGGAAACTTGGGCCAAAAATCAAAGATGCGGTGTGTACATTGTTGGTAGGTAGGAGGCTGCCTTGCTAAAAGTAGATCTGGTTGCACCATGGCTGAAGTGAACCTTCCTAAAAATTTCTGTTTCGTAACCCAGGTATTCGTACAAGCAGGTGAGGCTTATCTTGCCAACAGTTGCTTGTATTCATTATTTATAGGAGTACCTTATGCCCTACGGTTGTGCAATTAATGAATATTCCCGTGGCCTCTTCCCAGTGTCACCTGCCTCCTACCAGCCTTATTCTAGGTCAACAGCCGTAAGTCCCAAGAACGCAATGTTTCCATTGGGGTTTCAAAAGCCTCTTTTCTGCCTCAAGCATCTTTGTGGCTTACCTAACTTGTATACCTGTCTCCCCATCTTCCTCAATCTCAAGAAGCCAGTCAGATGAAAGGCTTCTTAAAAAAACAAATGTAAACATCTGTCCAAAAAAGCAAGCATGGGTAGAGGTAAAGAATTAACGGATTGGCAAATTAGTGATGGGTAAGGCAGAAAGACTGGCAGGAAAGGGCAATGTAAATACCCAACTGGTAACATATGGCTGTTCTACATGTATCTAGCTGCAGAATTCAATGGCTCTTAGGCCAACAATGCTTATTTTTCCCCCATCCCCTCTCCCTTGGACCTTCCACACGGTGTCTCTAGAGGTTTGAGAAGATCAACACCAGCTAATGGGTGGATGGAGACAAGGAGAATAAGCTGAGGGACACAGGAACAGAATGTGCACATTAGTAGGCAAAGGAGGATGGGTGGTTGGGTGGGTGGGTGGGAGGTGTAAATCACTTTGAGTTTAATTTTGTTGGAAAACCACATTAAAATGTTTATCTCCTATCAAGGGTAGCAAACTGAGAAGAATTGTATCAGCCCAAGAATACTTAGCATTAGAATGAAGGCACTATTTTTGGGTGTAAAGAGGTTACGCTACCAGAGACTTTCTAAGCACACGAGTCCATCCTTTTCTCGGGGTCTTTAGAATTCAATATCTTTGTCAGAGTGTGCTGGGAAGAGATAAGTTGCAAAATAATAGTGGCCTTGGCTAGAAAGACATTGAATTTCTTTAATGGCAAGCTTTGATGCTCAAGTCAGGGATTTTCATTCAGAGACCCCCTTTTCTCTGGCTAGACACATGTCAGACCCCAGGATCACAGCAAAAGAAGAACGTGACTTATCCTTAATACACACACATATCAATTAAGAGACTACCATGGTCCTTTTTTGAATATATTTGAGTGTAGTCATTCCATTTCAACTACAGGCTGCCTGAACAGCCGACATCTTATCTAACATTTTATATTTTTGTCTAGAATACCCTGTTTCCCTGAAAATAAGACCTCCCCAGATAATAAGCCCAATCGGGCTTTTGAGCGCATGCACTGAAATAAGCCCTCNGAGTTGGCCAAGTGTGATTGGACACACAAGGAATTTGTCTTTGGTGCATATGCTCTGAACAGTGCTAAGCACACTGCTGTTTCCATTGTATCGCTGCCTTAGGCATACACTGGAGGGCAGCGAAGAAGACTAGAGTCTTTCATAAATAAAGGGCCTCCTTACACTCTTGCACTTGGATGTTTTAAGGGTATCGTGGATTTCTTTGAATAGCTTCGTTTTCTTTTCTTAGAATCTCTGCTGATAAGAGTTGAACTATGAAGATGCCACCAGCCAATTTCTCCTATAATTTAGCTTGGATTTGAACAGTTCTCCGTCCTACCCAACCCAATAGAGATTTTACTATTGAGACAGCACTGGTAGACACGTTGAGTTTGAAACTGAAACTGAAGATCTGTGAATGAGTTTCCTCATTTTTAAGTTTTAGCACCTGATAAAGGCCAGTTCTTGTGAATATTGGATGCTAAATTTCCATACATCAATTGAATCTAGGTGGAAGCCAGGTCATTTACTATTTTCCTTTCTCTGTTGATGGGTTAAAACAAACAAGCCCAGACTTGGATCATTGTGTACCTGTGACTTTCTGAACCCAGAAAAGAGCAGAGATGTGGGCTGAATTTTCTCTTTATCTCATGGAATCATGCTTTATGAAACTTACAAAAAATGTAGGCTGCTTCTTTAGGCAGACTTGGCAACAGGAGGATGCCATCAGCAGGCATGCATTCAGAAGTAATTTATGAAATGTTTCAGCCAGAAATAAGTATGTTTTTTCCCCCTTTAGCAGATAGGCACGTTGAAATTCAAGGGCACACTTAAAGGACTGAACAGTCTGTTGTGGTGGGTGTGACAAACTGGGAACGTTTGCTTCTTGCTAGATGCACTATATTACCCTAGTTTACATTTTTTGTTGGTTTTTAGAGACGTTCTTGGAAATTAGAGATATTGTCTTCTTTGCCATCTTCCTGTTTAATTTTTAAAATTAAAGATAAGTCAGGGAGTATGGCAGGTACCTAGGTAGGCACCCTGGGCATATGAGTGCCTACAATTGGTTTAGGGAAGATAATGCACTACTGGTTTTAAAACCCCAATAGCATTAGACAAAGCAATACCCCCTGGCCTTCCAATAAGGAAATGCCCATTTCATGCACCAAGCATCAGTTGCCAGGAATGCGGTAACTAGAGTTTCCTGGTGTTTCTGAACTATATCTCCCAGGATCCCAGTTTATTGGCCATGCGGGCAGGAGTCACTAGAAATTGTAATTCAGCTCTTCACCCTGACTATGTAGCTGCTACATTAAGCATCCATTTGTATTCTACATTATGAATCCCCTGAGCTTCTCTTTCCTCTGCAAATAATTGTGGGCCACCTGTTTTCTTTGAACACACAAGCTCCTTTCTGTTGGCTTCAGGTTGGTCTTGCTGGGTGGAAAGTGCCTTTTGCCTGTTTTTATGGCAAACATCCATCCTGCATCTACATGGGATTCAGCCTAATTCAACTCAGTGGAACTTTTTTTTTTAAAGTGGACATGTACAGGATTGCACAGGCATTTTTTTCTTGTCATGAATATATAAGATCAAAGAAAACCTGATATTCTGTAGAGCAAAAATGAAAGAAAATCAAATGAAATGATGCTACCACCATAAAATTAGGAACATTCCACTCAGGCTGTACACGTAGCTTTCACAAATAGGGGCACAGTATAAATCTTGCCTTGGTCAATGACTCTAAAGAGGGTTCATCTAATGTCCCCAGAAACAGTCTTCAAATCCCTATCACTGAGTTGGCAAATATGGAATTGAAAGCAATCCATTAAAAAAAATCCCTCCTTTTTTTAAAGTGCTTTATGCAGCATTCCTTCTGCCCATGTCTTTAGAGAAGAAAATCTGTGTGGCCCAAAAGAGCAGAAATTACAAAGAGGCAAATTGCTTGTGTCTGTAGTGCATTGGCTATCCTTCAGATAAGCTGTGTCTCTTAAAGAGAAAGTAGGCTGCTGTAGGATCTGAAATCTGTACCCCTTGGCCAAAGGCCAATCAGTCTGGACAGTCTTCAAACACAATTTCTCTGCAGCTGAGCCACACTCTGAAAATTGTTGCTTCTTGGGGAACAGCTGATGCAACACCCCCCTCCAGACTCTATCAGCCAGAAAAGATCAGAAATGCAAGTTGTAATTGGCTGGAAGTGCCTCCCCCACATCACTCTATAACCTCAGTCTGGTTCTAGATTTGTCCATGGTGGGACAGCCTGCCTGCCCTGAGAGTAAAGTAGACCCGCAACAGTTACTTATTAACAAAAGATTGGGAGAGCAGCAGCTTGCCCTGAAGAAATGCCAGATGTTCTGGAGGAAGCAATGCTTTCTTTGTATGTGGGAGCAATATATATATATATATATATACATATCAATAACAGGTGACATATTGCTGGGGTGGTGGGGAGAAGAATAATCTGGTAAGAGTTTGATTGCTCAAGAGACCTGGAAATAAATTACAGGTTCCTCCTCCTTTACATGAAAGTTGANATGATCAAATTTCAGTCATTTTGGCATCTGACCCATATTTATGACATTTGCAGTGTCCCAGGGTAATGTTTTCACTTTGGGTGACCTTCTGGCAAACAAACTCAATGGGGGAGCCAGATTCACTTAACATCCATGTCACTCTTTTAACAATGGTGGTGATTTACAACTGTGGCAAGAAAGGTCGCAAAATGGGGCAAAATTCACTTAACAAATGTCTCACTTAGCAACAGAAATGTTGGTTGTAAGTCAAGGACTACCTGTACCAGGAAAGTTACAAAGACCCAGGTAAAAGACGGCTCCTTTTTGAAAGAATGTATGTGAAAAGTTTACATGTGGGGAAGAGTGTTAGGTAAAATATCTCCCCTAGCAGGAAGCCAGGACACCGTGATATCTCTTTAAACCTGAGGCAATTGAGAAGAAAACAAAGGGAGTTTCCTCCTTCCCTTTAATTCTCTTGCCATTGACTTTGGCAGTCAAGAAGAATTAAAATTGCCAAAGGTGAAAAAAGTGAACTCTCTTGGCTCTTGGATCCGAATTAGCTGACGTCTAATCAAGAAACATCTCTCCACTGGATGTTGTGTCTTTAAGTGGCCTGGTCAGTGAAGGCTCCACCCTTGTCCCCTATCCATTAGAACAGGCTTATACGTGTTTGTCACATACTGATCTACAAACAGCCTCTCTATTTTTCCATTACAGCCCGGATGTTGAAGTGGCCAGGTTTTGAGATGTATCCCTGACTGTGTATACAGTAGTTGTAAGTTTACCGTCTTTTTTTCCACATGCCCATTTGCTCTCCCTCTGCCCCACACTTCACTCCTAAGAATGCTCTGGACTGACTTCTTAAATGCTGGCAAATATGGAACCACAGATGGAGATCACGGAGGGCATAGAAAACTTAAGCCTGGCTGACAATTGCAGATAAGTCCTTGAAAAGGGTTCCATTCTCTGCAGATAACTGGTCAGTTCAGAGCATGGCTCAATTTGCTTGCAGCACTATGGGTATTGGAATTTCATCACCTTTCTTTGGCTAATGGAAATGGTTCCTTTTGCTCCTCTGATCTTGGGAGTAAATCTCTCTTTGCAATCCACACTTATATCCGCCAACCCATAAAATCCTCCCTTCCTTGGTTCTTCTTTTTTTTCCCTCCAACCTTTTCTTCTTGCTACATTGCTCCTGGGTTTGAATTTTCACCGAGCTTTTAAATCTGGGCACTGGGGTTTCTGGTTTCCAGCGAGCATTTTGAAGCTTTTGCACAATTACTGCAATATTGTTGGCAAATACACTGGGTTTGGACTCATTGGTTTTCTTTCCCTTCCGAGTGGTTCTGTATGACTTCATGTCTTTTACGGCCAGAACTTTGTCAATAGGACAATGCAGCTGCAGTTGTAGGTTTCTGGTTGTGAGAAAAGAGACCTTGTACCTACAGATTGCCCATTGCCACCTTTCTGAGGGATGGGGATGTAAACTTGGAATTATCAAATGGCTTTTGTATGTGTGCCCACATAAAAGCTCCCATTGTATGTGAGGGAAAGCAGGAGAGTGCCAACAAGGTAATGAGCCAATTTTTCTTCTAAACTGTTTATGTTTTCACTTTCTTTCTTTTTTTTGCCTCATTATTCTTAGGAACAAGTCAGTGTGAGACAAAACAAAATAAGAAATGCTTTATTTTAAAAAGATGGTCCTTCGTCCCTCTGCAATTTTAGCCTTTCATGGAAGCCACGCTGGCAAACAGCTACTTTTATACAAGCCCTAGGACAAATGGAAGGAAACACAAGTTAGGACTGGTGGAAATAAAATAGATATGGCTCTCCCTCCTCCATCTTGGCTTCCATCTCTGCTCAGCAGCAATACACTTTAAAAAAAAAATTCTGTCAGGCTCTCACATTTCCCCTCCCTTCCCATTTGCTATTACAAAAATAGTTAACTATTCCTTGGTGAGTCACAGTGTGAACAATTTTCAATACTTTTCTCTCTGTTCCCTTTCAGCTTCAAGAATCTATTTTAGCATCCCTTGTGGGGAGAAGGGGTCACCTTAAGTTCCTGCATTAATTAAGTAGGAAATATTAATTCCCTGTGCTTTAAAAATAGAATAATTAATTTTGCTGCTGTGAACTGAACCATCCTTTTAAAAAAAAAGAGCCATACTGGTTACAAATAGGGGTTTGTGTCCAAAAGAGAAATGATGCTCTACTTCAGGGGTACCCAACCCCTGGTCCATTGATTGGCACTGGTCCTTGGCATGGAAGAAACTGGGCCATGCAAACAAGCAAAGCCCCATCTGTGGGATACAGGCAGCACATGTAACCATGCCCTCTCTGGTCTGTGGAAAAAACCTCTCTCAAGGAACTGGTCCCTGCTGCCCAAAAGGCTGAGAGCCGCTGCTCTGCTTCTGCACAGCAAGCCCAACTTCTCTTTCTCTCTTACTAAAAAGATGCTGGGCTGCTCAGGGGTGGGCTTCAAAAATTTCAGCAATGGGCTTTCTGCTCAGTTGCTGGGTGACCGTGGCCATGGTGGGCATGGCCTAGTCAGCCTACTGCCCCACGCCAGGGGGAACGATTTTGCCTTCCCTAGGTTCTGGAGGGTTTCCTTGAGTCTCTGGGAGGGTGAAAACTGCCTCCCCCTGGCTCCAGAGGCCTTCCAGGAGGCCCATCCCCCCCCCCCGAGCCTCCATGTGGGCCCTGCATTTACCTCGCATCCAAAATGAGCCGCATGGAGACTCATAGGAGGGGCGTGGTGGGGTGGCAGGGGTAGGGTGAGCAGAGACAGCCAGAGGTGGGATTTGGAGGTTCTCTGAACCGGCCATAATGTTAACTACGGGTTCTCCCGAACCTGGACGAACCCATAGCAGCCCAAATCTGCTACTGCTCCTGCAGACCACCTGGGAAGACCTTATCTTTTTCTTGGCAATAATATGTAGGTAATTTACAATATCTTCTTCCAGTATTTTTTAAAAGAACTTCCCAGTGTACAATGGGGAGGTCTCCTGGTAGTTTCCTATCCAAATATTAACCTGAGTTGATGATACTTAACCTCTTTGGAGACCAGCCAAGGCTGGGTAACTGCAGCCAACCTGAGTTGGGACAGCATGAAATAAGTTAGGAACAGCATAAAATGCTTATAGATCCCTCCAGATTACAGCACAGGCCAATTTATCAGCTGTGGCCTCTTTAAAAGAAGGCATGTGAATAATGATTGTGTGCATACCCCACGTGCTACTTGTTCACATCTTGCAGTTAATATTTAGCCATTGCATTGGTGCGTAGAAACATTACATTGCAAAGCAAACCAGGGACCAGTTACTGTGGGATTAGCAAACATTCTCAAAATAGCACTTTCTTTTCCTACAAGCATAAGAAGAAATACTTTCTCTTCAGTTACCCAGTAGCTCCTGGTTTATAGAGCTTTTCCCCACAGGTACTTGATTCTACCAAATGAAAACACTTATCTGGAAATGCTGTCCAGTTTTGTGCAAAGAAAGTGCCATTTTGATCAGATAAATACTTTCAACTGAATCAAAGTCAAAACCAAAACTTAATACAATATTATAAAACCTTGCTTCAGGGAATGGCTGTCTATGATTGTTTTATTAATAAAAGATTACTGATCTGGGCAGGATTGATATTCTTCTATGACCATTATTTAATCAATTGGTTTATATGCCAGCATTTTTTCCCCACGAGCATCTGGAGAAGTGGGGGAGGGAAGTGGTACCTCTTGTCTTGGGATGCCCTGAGGCAAATTCCATCCCTTTGGTCCTTGCATTGCAGAAGTTATCTCATGACATCACAAGATGTGATTAGCATTTTGGCATCATGGGGGCTAGTCAGATGCCAAAACTATAAAGAGGACCCTTGCTTTTTAATCTAGCAAATATTGTTAAATGTTAAAAGGGAAATATAACCAATTTCAAACATAAATTAACATGATATAAACCCATATTAAAATTGATGCTAAGCTCAATTAACAAATCAAAAACCGGATGAAAGAAATGTATTTGCTAAGTTTTCTAAACCCAGAGGTAATGTGGGAGAAATGCAGCTCCCAATGAAGCATATTCGGTAACCTGGGACCAACACAGCAGGAGGTCAGAAAAATGGGCCTCTGACAACAGCCAAAAGTGGAATTGAATCCCTGCTTCCTTTTTTGGCTCCAGGCTCCATTTTCCTTCATTGAGATAAATTTTCATGGGATATAAGCTGCTTTTTCTTTCCTTTTTACATTATCTTTTCATCAGCCAAGGACTACAGGAAACACAGCAGTTAATGGATATGATGATGTCATTGGAATAAGTAGGGGCATTTTTTTCTGCATCTTGTACAGAGAGGGTTTTTGGTTTTTTTAAAAAATAATAATAGCGTGTAAGTTCAGTAGATCTAAGGAATTTCCCCCCTTTGGTTTTTTACTCAAATCTGGTAGGAAAGTCAATTACTCCTAAATTTGGCAATGTGTTTTTGTGAACTGCAGAATCACAGAAAAGAGATTTGAGGACTTCCATGAGGGTTACAGAATACCCAGCCTTGCTTTAGATAGATAGATGATAGAGATAGATAAATACAGTAAATAGATAGATGGATAGATGGAAGGATGGATGGATGGATGGATGGATGGATNGGGAAACACAGTATTTATTGCCGTAATCAGGTGAAAACTGATTACAAGTACTGTAGTTGAGACAAATATCTTCATAGTCTGAACAGAACTAAGGGTAGATTAGTTCAGGCTGGAGGAAAATCCCTAAAACTCTCCAAGATTATGATTCCTTTTACATCAAGAATCAGGAACTGGTGGCACTTCTGATATTACTTGATCTTCAGTTCCCCAACATTTTCATCACTGGATGACACTGGCTGTGACTGATAGGAGTTGTAGGTCAGACATGTTCAAAGGCTCACAATTTAGTACGGGTAGTACTCGACTTAGAACCATTTATTTAGTGACCATTCAAAGCTACAACATCGCTGAAAAAAGTGACTTATGACCAGTTCCCCAAATTGCAACCGTTGCAGCTTCCCCATGGTCACGTGATCAAAATTTGGCAATTGGCATGTATTTATTGCAGTGTCCTGAGCTCATTTGATTGCCTTTTGCGACAAGCAAAGTCAATGGGGAAGACAGATTCCCTTAACAACCTTGTTACTAACTTAACAACCAAAGTGATTCACTTAACCGCTGTGGCAAGAAAGGTCTTAACATGGGGCAAAAGTCACTTCACAAGTGTCTTGCTTAGCAGCAGGAATTTTGGGCTCCGTTGTGGTCATATGTCAAGGACTACCTGTACTCTTGTCATACAACATAGTAGGACTTAAATATGTTTCACTCCATCAACAGTAGCTGTATGATTAGACTTCATCCAAAAAAGGGAAAAATAAGCACTTTTCTTTCTTCATTTTTCTTCTCTTCTCCTGGATGCATCAGAGAGCAGCAGTGAAAGTAGCAGGCTGCATCTCGCTATGCATGGACGCTTTGACTTCATCTGTTCTGAAGAGAAGATGACGTGCAAAAGAGATGGAGGATGAGGCGTCTGGGGCCTTCCTCCATCAGGAACTGAAATGCTATCAAGCTGCATTCACCACAGCGGGTTTTTGCAGCGTGCATAGCATTTTGCACAGTCCCTTTTTAGCAATACGGCACTGCATGTCTCTACATTGGAGACTATTTAATCTCGCAGATCCACTGTACAAGATCACCCTCTGGTGAAACAAATGTTTATTTTTATTTTTTTTGTCAATGTCTTTTTTTGTACTTTTGAGACCAAGTACTTGGACTATGCCTTGGGAGGCTGCTGGGATGCATAACTTCCATTGCTATCTTTGTGGCAAAAGCATTATGGTTCCATAGCTGATATCCCCCCCCCTGTTTTTTTTCTACAGGGACTGGATGACTATGGGGCAAGACCCTCAAGCAGGTAAGTTATTTCATTTTCAAATCCATTATGGATCTA